CTTGAAGCCGCTAGTCGCTCTGCTTCAACTGCAGGATTTGCACACAAACACTTTAAATAGGTTTGATTTTCTCCCGTTAATATGATTCCTGATCTAAAGATGGTCGTGAGAGGCTAATTTCCCCTAGTTACCCCCTATATAATACTACAAGATGAGACTGAAACTCGGTCCGATCCAACAAATTCTTGCACCACCGTAGAATTGGCCCGAAAAGGACTTGTACATTGTATACCCGGCTTAATGCTCTTTTTCATCCTGTAGACTTGATTTCGAGATTAGTTTTTGCACATGAAGCCACCAAACAACAGCTCTTCCCATTATTTTTTAAATTTTACATAGAAAGTAATTCTTGTGAAGCGCCTCTATGTTCGCTTTGTGTATGTTTTCTGTCTTTTCAAAAGTCTAGTTGAGCATAGCAGAAGGCTTTCAGTGCCTAGAGAAGTGTTTTGATATAAATTGAATTAAATGGAATGTATTGTTTCGACAAACAACCAAACTTAAGGCTATGAACAAAATTCTTTATGTTCTATACTGTATTATTTTTGATTACTTTAGCTTAGAAAAGAGATAAGGTCAGATTAAAGTAAACGAGAAAAAGAGCAGCTCTAGATGTGTAACTGGCAAAACCACTATCACAGTGAGATTAATATACACAATGACTGAATGTAAACTTTCTTGTCTGTGCAATCGTTTCTCTGTCTGTATTTGATGACATACACGCAAACAAATCCTTGCAGCATCGTGGTAAATGGCCCTGATATCTTATTCATCAGGTTTATCCGTCCTCCTCCTGCCGTATTTCTCCGCATGTTCACAATCATTACTGCTGGGATCGGTAGGGTTGGGGTGGGGGGTGGCATTTAAGTTGTTGCCTTTGTTTGTTGAATGTTTATAGCTTCCGTTAGCACAGTCTCAACGACCACTGAGGAACCAGTAGATACAAAATCCAAATCCTCCCATAAAAGAGGAGATGCCCTCTGGGCAGCCATAGCTCATAGTTGGCCTGATTTAGTGGCAGCCAGGAATCCAGGCTTGAATAAAGACAGAGAGAGCGAGGGCAGAGTGGGAGAGATAGAGGAAAAGATAGCTCCCTGCGTGATAAATAGCCCCGGCTCCCTCTATTGCATTAGCCGTCCAGGCCGATAGATTGCGAGCCCAATAGACCCAGACGTATGCGATTGGTTTCTCATATAAAAGTTGCATATTAAATTCCTCCACAGGACTGTGCCCCCCAAGCATGAAGGAGGGATGGGAGAGATGGGAGTTAAAAAAGCAGAAAGTGGAGAAAGAAATGGAAGAGCAAGAAAAAGGCTTTTTATGAGAGATGAAGCGAAGGCAGACTTGGGGAAGCCTGATAAGAAGGGGGAAAACTAAAGGCTGCGGGAAAGTAGTTTGATGGTAGAAAAGACAAATGGTGATGTCATGTATTTAATAAGTCCGTGGATATTGGGCGATGAGTGCGACCGTACGTCCATTTAATCAGTATTGCCTCCCAATGAAGATTTCTCTCTTGTTTTGCACACGCCCTCCCTTCCCTCTGTTCTCAGCCTTCCCCTACACGCTAACGACCCCTCTAATTGTTTCAAAGCTCATTAAGATGCTGCTGTTTTAATAGTAATTAATCCGTCATTTGCCTACATGCAAACGTAGGCCACTGAGGTTTGTTCATTGCTGTTTCAATACACTGATAATGCAGTGGATGATTCAAAGCAGATAATATCCTGCTAATTTAGCTCATCACTGTTAATTGGTTGTTAAGTGCCTTTAATTACCAGGCAGGCTTTGGGATTTAGGTTTGCTGAAAGAGAGCATTCGCTATGATTGTCCCCGTCCATCTAATGAATCTTGAGTGAACTTTGGAAAGTGAAACAAATGACCAAACTGGAGACACGCTCTGACCCTGTTTCTCTTTTATATAGGCTGTTTTCTCTCCTCCTTACTTCTCCTTTGTCCTTCCGTCCCTTCCTCCATCTGCTTCTCTCTCTCTCTCCATCTCTTTCTCCAGATATTATTAACTCATTAAGTTTTTTTCATTATTTTTAATAAAAGATGAGTTATGGCTTTAGCCTCACTGTGGCAGCACACCACACCCCTCCTCTTTCCTTTTCTCTTCAACCGTTTACTCCCTCCCTCATTCTCCTCCTCATCACCCCCCGACATTTTTGCCTTGTCTCTCGGCGATGTTGTACGCCGTCGCTCTGATGCGTTTGACCCCTGAACCCCTACTTCCGACCTCAGAGCTGCCTCTCAAAACCTTCCGTCCAGCTCCTTCATTTTCGCCACTGCTACACCCATCTATCAATCATCTCTCTTTCTCATAGTGCCAGGCAGTCTTTAGATGGCATTCATAAGATTTATGATTCATGATCCGCTCTGTTTGTGTGTGTGTGTGCTTGAAGAGAGAGATAGTGGAAAGAAAAGAGGATAAAGCCAAAGACAGACTATAGAGATAGGAAAAAGTGTCTTGCAGATGACACAGAATAATGACAATATCTATGATTGATAGCCTATCTGGAGAGAGTTGTGTGTGTGAGTGCATTTTGTGCCTTCATATGCATGCGTACGCTGCTCTGTTTGTTCCACGTTCATCGGATATTTAAAAATCAGTGATTGAATGGTTTTCATGGGGTTTGAGATTTTAATGATCACAGGAAAAGGGTGTCAAGTGACCAGGATTATCAAGGGACATGGTGTTATTTTTCTTGCAAAAGAAGTAGAAGAAAGCTGAATCAATTTGTGGCAAATAAGAGCGGTTAACCGACGTCCACTTGTCTTGTCCTCTACACTACAGGCAAAATTAGATTAAAAAATCTTTTTAAAGGCTCTTATTACATTTGGGTTTGGGTTTTTTGCTGCTAATAAATACTCAGACTCCTCGCATCGATGGGAAGAGTTGTGTACAGTAATCATTCTTCCTTACTCCTCTAAGCATTATTTTGGTGAGAGTATTTAAGGAGAAAATCTGCAGTTACTGTGCAAAAAGAAGAGATTTCTGTAACCTCAGCATCAAAAACAAGTAAAAGGGGTTTTGGTTTTTTAAGCTAAGACATTTAGATTTCTGTTTTTGCAAATGCAAAGCTCCAAAATGCGAGACCGTTGTTAAAGATCTTTAAAGGAATGCTGACATTATTTGTTCACTGTTTTGGTTACAGCCCCAAGTATAAATTCATTTTTGTTCGAACAGTTTTAGAAACTGCAGTATATTTTATTAGGCCTTGACCACTTTAACTTTGCTTAAACATATTTTTTTCTTTCTTCTTGGAAAGAAAATCCAAGACTGTTATTGACCTGAGAACACCTTGTGTCTGTATTTGCGAACATATTTGGACTTATTGATACATACTATCCATTGATGCAATGCTGAAATCCAAACTGAATATTAAAAATATGAAAATATATTTCTGCAAATTTAGAAAGAACATTGTAGCAGCTAATCACTCTAAAGTAGAAGATGTTGGAAATAACGAGCAATATGCCCAAGTCTGGGTATCCAACCATGTTTATTCTAAAAGCAGACTACAAGATGCTACAAGAAGACTTCAAAACGCTAAAATCCAATCATGACAACAAGAGCCGACTCCCCCTATGGCTTATTTGACGGATCATATTTAAAAGAAGATCATCCAAGTTAAACTTTCTCGAGATGTGAGCAAGAAAGAAACATTTGTGAGAAACAGAAAATTAAAACAACTTTCAGCATGTAAGCAGGGAACTCTTAAGGTGAAAACAGAAATCTACTTAGGTACTTAGTATAGTCTAAGATTTAATTAGTGTTTCCTGGCTGTAGTGTCAGCCTGTAAAACAACACTTATTTTTTAAAGAAGTTTGTCTATAGGCTGGTAAATTAATATACGTAAATGGGTTGTACATGTGAACCAAAGATATCCTTTATATCTTGGATTTATTCCTGTTTATAAACAACTACATAAAGGAAATTCCTAACTTGGACAGCTTGTGATTAGGTTCTGTAAACAGTTTTAAAGACACTTATGACTCAGGTTTGATAGTTGGGGGAAACTAAACATCCTCTGAATACTTTTTCTTAAAGGTACTTGAAGATATTAATCTTAGCTACTGTAGTATGCCTCTGAATTTAATATATAAAATTAAATGTAACTAGCTTAAAAAAAATGTCATTTATCTAATAGTTTTTGAATAATGTGTGATCCTGGTTTAAGAGCTGCAATGGGCCTCGTTTTCAGTATCCTGTAATTATGTTCCGCTAGCACCTTGTCAGCTTCGAAAAACAGTTTTTTGTTAGTTAACATACTTTAATAAAGGCAGTTTATAATATTAGGTTTTCAACGTTATGTTTTAAAGATAAATAATGCAGTTTTTTATTTGAAAAAATAAAATCTTATGCATTTGTGTAGTCATTTAAACTCTGAATTATGCATTAATCTACAGTTACAAATTACTGCCCCTGTTGTAAAATAATGAAGCCAATTTTTTTGCTATATTTCCAGATAATTCATCAAATGCAATAAGAGATAAATCTAAATACAAAACAATGAATTGCTACCGATCTTCTGGTATGGATAGACTGCTATACTTACCATATAGAAATACAATCTGTTTAATTAGTTTTCTTGTATAAAGTGCCCCTTTAAACTAGTGGTAAAATAGCACCCCTTGTCTAACAATATGCAAGTGGAGTCTGCTATGTCAGCTGGTGGGAGACCCCATCAGAACTGATTCTGTAGTTAGAATTGGACACACCTGAAAGACAGATGTCCTAAACTTGGCTCAGATCAAAACTGTGTGCTCCATATATTTTTGATTATTAATATTGGTAATTTGAAATGTGATTATATAAAACTACCATACTGTATGGGTGAACTGGAAATATAGTGTATGTTATGGTAGGATTCCAAATAACTAATAAAAGAAATAATTGATTGTCTATGTGACATTTTGAAGTAACATTTTCAAACTGTTTTTATTTCATTCATGTTCTCAAACACACATGCACATATGTTCAGCAAACATGTATTGCCGCCAAAAACAGTATTGTAGAATGTATTTATTGGCATGAACACACTTTTTTATTACTTTTTTAATGTAAACACCACATACAGTGTATTAAAAGTCACTGGTAGTGTTTATATATCAGTGTGATACATACATTTGTCAAACGCATGCAACAGCATTAACAAGAATGAGGCAGGGACGGATAGTATATATTTTTTTCAAAACAAACATAATATTACATTGTGTGCTGCAGATTCAACTCATAGGCCCATTCACTCAAGAAATCTGTTCATGACTTTCCCTCTCTTATTTGATTACTGTAAGAGAACATGCATGCAATGTTCTTTTGAAGCTGGAGATGTCGTACTTCATATTTCCACTGGAGTGCAGTCTGGCGTCAGGATAAAAAATTTCCCACAAATTAACGATCCATCGATGTTGTGATCTGCAAACTAATTGGCTGGTGTCATGTATTCTTGCAAAGCTTCAGTACTTTTCATATGACATCCTGCTGTGAGGGCACATTGATTCTTACTGATGAGGTCTGGGGTTGTTGAGGTCTTGGGTTCTCTTTTCTTTGCTCAGTATTAGCTATGTTCAATACAAGGGGGAAAAAGCAAAACGCTGATTAAAGGTTTATCTTTAATTTATCACAAAAAAAAAAAAAAAAATCCATTTCACCAAAATAACTTAATATTTGTGGAGGATTACATTTACAGTCAAAAAATGACTGTCCTCAAAAAACAGGATGCATTTGCTTAATATATAATACTACATTCAAATATAAAATTAGACTCACTATAATGTCTCTTGTTTGAGATTGGTTGCATCATATTGAGTTGTAAAGATCAACAGCAAACACTCCAAAAGACCTGAGTCTCCTCAGCAGGAAGAGTCTGCTCTGACCTTTCTTGTACAGAGCCTCAATATTGTGAGTCCAGTCCCTGTTTGTTGTTCAGGTGAATACCAAGGTACTTATAAGAGTCTACTATCTCAATGTCTGTTCCCTGGATGCTGCCACGACTATGTTTCAGTCTGCACCACCATGATTCCATGGCTAATGTTGAATATTAGGTTTTCCAGAACATACTGTATAACCATTTCAATGTATGCCAGTACATTTCAACTGGCTCTCATATTACTAGAGCACCTTCTTTTATTTGCTCACTTGGTCTCCAACGGGATTGTGACTTATTCATGTTGGACATCTTTTCTTCTTTCAAAAAAAGCCAGGTTTGTAGAAACGATAAATAGCTGTGCTACTTCAGTACTGTAATGTCTCACTGAGCTGTTAACCTATAGGCATCCAAAAACTTAATCTGTGTGGATCCAGCATTCTAATCAACCTAATCACAGACTGTGCCTTTCTCAGACAGTGTCTGGAAAAGTTGCCCACTTTCTCCATTCTAACAGCTTTAGGTCATCTATAAGTGTAATTTACATTGGTAAGGATTAATAATCTTATCCATATTCTAACAGGTGTATTTCTTGGTCTTTATGATATTCTTTGTACACTAAAGTCCTCTGACATATTGGTCACTGATGTTGGGCCTGAAGACCCTCTGTCCTTCTACATTACGACATAGCTTTCTCCATATGTTACATCTGTTAATAACCTATTCATATAAATCAGATATCTGTGATACTGTGTGGGCCATGGCTGAACAATCAATCAATATCGTTACCATTGATACAAGCTTATCACCCTTAGAGATAGGGTGAGGAACCATTAGGAGACAAGATGAAGAATAGCTGCTGGACCTATTAAGGGTTTTTGGGCATCTGCTCAGGATGACACACTAAGAGAAAACCCTGGGGCACACCCAGATTTTTCTGAAGAGACATTTTATCCCTTCTGGCCTGGTGTCTTGGTTTACCTACTAAGCCTGTAAAACCAGTGATTCCTCTCAGATAGGCAAGAGAAAATGAATGGGACTTCCAAATCTAAAACTAATTCCTTTTCACTTGACAATATATATATTTGTTCCGCATTATTCTGTCACAAACAACTCCAATAAAATGTTTAGTGTTGTAAGAAACAAAACTGCGTAAATGTCCAATGGTGATGATATCAATGAAGTATTGACTATTTGTATATGGACATGTTTGTTAGATAAAAGTTTTATCAACTTATAAAACCTACTTTAGTAAATCATGGAAACAAATGATATATGAAAAAAAAAATCATTACAAGATGTTAAAAGCAAATTTGTGTCACTGAAAAAAACAATTGTTTACTATGCACACATATACAGATAATGCTTACAAAAATCTGTGTGAAATCCTGTGATTGCTTTTTTGTGCATAAGAATATGTCGACCCCCTTATGTTCTCCCTATCTGGTAAATATCTTAGTTACGTAGGGAACAAATACAGCTTTATTATTTTTCTCCCTCCAAACTTTTAACTACATTTTTAAAGGGGAAATAAAAACAAGTAATGAAACAGGATGACAACGGCTAAAAGCAAATCTCTTGGTCTAATAAGCATACTGCCATATGGCATATTGCACCATGGATGACACAGCAAGGATCTGTGTCACAGTTCATTTGTTTTGGGCAAGATATGGCCTGTGGGGGCTATAGTGATGTCAGTATGTGCAGTATATCTACTTACATGTGGCATTATGGTTGGTTATGCAGTGGCAAAGACTATGCTGGGGGTTGTAACATCTCCGTCCATTTGTGTTGCCTGTTTCCTGCAGACTGATTAATACTGGATCAGGGGTGTACAGTGAGCTGAAGCTCAGCACAGACTTGAATCACTGAATACAAAGAGAGAACACACACATTTAGAAAAGTAAATGAGCTTTTATCTGTTAATATATGTTTTAACAGAACAACGGGTAAAACAGAGTTGCTGTTGGGCCTTAATTAGTTCAAAAAAGGGATCCATCATCAACAGTTTTCAAACCTTAATAAAAAGCACTTGCTTAACTTAAATATAAAACATTTCAAAATCTTAAAACAAATTACCCCTGGTGGCCACTGACATATGTGGTAGCTGTGTCATTTGTAGAGTGAGTGGCTGGAGCAGTTCCATCAGTGTTGAGGTCTTGAAGATTGAGGTTTTGAGTTGTTATTGCTACAGCACTGATGGTATTGGTCTGATTACATAGTAGTGTCACCTCTGTTAGCTGCTTTCTTGCTAAGAATTGGAAAAGAGAAATCAAATTAACTGTTAAAGAAAAGCAAGCTGAAAGAAACAGAATAATCAGGCTGGAAATTGTTATGACATAATTAAAGCTCCAAAGCAGTTGCTTCACCTGCCGTAAAAGTGGGAGATGATTGCTGACTTTTCCAGCCACTGTAAGTAGAGAAACGACATCTCAGTAGTTGGGCGTAAGCTGACCTGAAGTCCCTGTTGAGGGCTCCATAGATTACAGGATTCAGGGCCGAGTTTGCGTATCCCAACCACAAAACAATAGAGAATTCTGGTACTATGGCAGGGTCTGTATGCTCCTTTAGACCCAGCACTGTGAATAATATGAAATAAGGCAACCAACAAACAACAAAAGCCCCAATCACTGCCGCCAATGTCAGTGTTGCTTTGTGGTCTTTTAGCGCCACAGCTGTAACTCCAGAAACCAGAGTCGTCTTTGTGGAAGGGCTGTTCTTGCAATTGTAAGTGGTGATGCGAATAGGTCGGGTCCTGATAATACGCTTGGCCTGTGCACGAGCTATCTGAAGTATCTTAAGGTATGTCCAGCACATAGCCAACAGAGGCAGATAAAAGGTAAGAAGAGAGTCTGTCAGTACATAAGGCCTGTTTAACTCAAAACGACATTTACCCTTAGAAGCCCAGGGCCCGTGATTCTGCACTGTTCCATTTACAGTGTTCCATCCCATTTGAATTGGCAAGAAAGACACAGCCACTGACACCGTCCAGACACTAACTAAGGCTACAGCAACTCTCCATGGTAACACTAGAGAAGCATATCTCAGAGGCATAGTCACTGCCATGTAGCGGTCCACACTTATGGCGAGCAGCGTTAGAATAGAGGCCGTGCACAGCATGACATCCATGGAGATATAGAAGTTGCAGAAGACTGGGCCAAGCGGCCACTCGCTGCTGAGCTGGAGGAGAGCAGAGAATGGGAGGACCAAGAGACCGAGCAGGAGGTCTGTCACCGCCAGTGACACAATGAAGCAGTTAGTGAGGCAGCGGAGGCGTCGTGAGGCGCAGACAGCTAGACACACCAGCACATTACCACCCACAGTCAGAAGGATGAGGAGGGACAGGATGACACCAAGCATCACTTTTGACAACATTATTTCTGGTGCTTTACTGAAGACAACCCAAAGTCACTGCTGTTGAAGATGCTTGTGAACCATATCTGTATGCTATTTACACTAAATTATGTTGATATTTAAGAGGCAGGCACATTTTATAGGTCTCGAGCTGACAGTATGATTTTAAGAAGTTCTTGATTTTTAGTTGGCTTCATTCAGAAAACAAGTTTTCCAAACATGGAGTCTTTTCAGCTTCAGCTTTCAATGGTGGCTACAAGTTTATTTTTCTGTTTGAGTCAAGTTTTGAGTCTTCTGTGTGAAAACCACAATTTGTGAAAAATATTTTCATCCCAGAAAAAAAGCTAGGTAGTCAGCTTTCCCTTCTGGATAAACACTGTGACCCAGGCGCAAGCTTTTCCACTCTGTTGGCTGGTTTTCTGTATTCCCTTCAACGCCATTATCTGTAGATGTAGTGACACCTAGTGGGAAAAGATAATAAGTACAGTTAGCAAGAGAGAAAAGTTTTATTGCACTCTTGTTCCATTACCAAATGCAAAAACACCTTACCTGTATAAAAGAATAATCTCCTGGATTATATATATAAAAAAACAGACAAATCAGATTTAATATTAGTCAGTTGAAACTTTAGCATTCTTTGCTAAAATTACTTTAAAAATTGGTAATGTATTTATAAAGGGAAACTACTTTAACACTTTAGGACCCTTTTATCATATGTATAAAAAAAACATTAGACCATGTTGTGACCATCATTTTTTACAAGATACCACCAAAGGGTGAGTTTGATCAGATTAGATATGGAGGCCTTTCTAAACGGGAAAATAAAAAAATAGAGAATGGAAAACAATCAGATTCACAACCAATTTAAAGAAAAAGAAAACCCACAAAATTAGGAGAAGCTGTAGAGTATAATATGACAGAAATAGTATCTAGAATAATCAGCATTGTCTGAAAAAGAAAAAAAAAACAGTGGAGGCAGTGTAATAATCCCTGAGTGCTATGCATCCAAGCATTCAGAAACAGTGGGTAAACAAAGCGGTTATTAGGAATGGGACAAGATGGGAGCATTTGAGAAGTGGAAGGGTGGGGTGTATGTGCACTTTCTGTCAGCTATGAATACACTTAGTCTAATACCTTAGATTGCATTTGCCTCGTTGATGACAAAACAAAAGACGCTCACACATTTATGAAGCTTTTTGTTGATTGTAAACAGTCTGCTATCAAAACCTTAAAAGAATTGCGACAGCTAAAACGTCTGCATTTACACAAGCAGGTTTAATGCATTGTCATTGTCACTAAATGCATAGATTGCTTTACTTAGTGTTTTTTTTTTGTTATCCATTTGGTTAAAGTCCAAATAACAATAGAAAAAGAAAAGTGCTCTACTGATAAAAAGGACTTTCTTTTTCTCCATGTTTGTGCAGTGAAACACAGCACTGCAAACAATTCATCAAAATATGATTGCCCCTGCAAAATCTCAGTTTAATTGGAAACATCCATGCATTTATCATCCAATAGCTTCCAAGTACACCGTATTGATCTATGCTTGACCAATATCTTGAGATGCTTTCATTATCACACTTTGCAGGTGTAAGCAAATCATATCCTAGTGGTAAACAATGCTTGCAGATAACCCTTTGAAAACCAAGTAGCTGCTGTAGGAGCAGCTCTGCGTTTCAGCTAAAACATACCCCTGAATTTGGAAATGTCATCTAAAGCATTATGCATGGAATGTCTGTTTCTTTAGACACATTTTAAAGTCGGTACTGATATTTGTTTATTTATTGCATGAAGTGGTGAATAGCAGTTGGGATTTTTCATTAATAATTCTGTCTGATTTTTGAGCAGTTCTTTTTTTGTTTTACAACCTTTGGATAATTCACAATGTTTTATGTGGATTTAATTGTCTTCTACATTAACAGGTTCATCCATCCCCATCATTTGTCACCATTTTATAACTGGGACTTCAAGATTTAGAGACGCTGAATATCTTTAGACTAATTTCAAGAGTTCTCTCTGTACAAAAAAGGGACTTTTCAACTTTTCAAGTAAAAAAATAATAGTGAAAAATCTTTTTTTAAGCAGTTTGGTGTCTTACTTTGACTATAGGAAAATAGTGAGGCATAGTTTTCAGGAAGGGAAGACAGTGATACTAGTATGCAATACCTCTTAAATGCATAGTTTAGTTTGCTTAGTTTTAGTCTTACTTTTGTTGCATTGTAAATAATAATAATAAAAAAAACATTGGCTAAGTCATATGCAGGCTCACAGTTTAGAAACCAAAAGCCATTGAAAATTAAAAACACTACTTTTCTAAATTACTGTACTCTTTGCTTATTGCCTTCTGTAAAGAGTGCAAAAAAGGCTTGATCGACTTTACACCTATATTTTCATGACTTCAGGCTCAGTATAAAGCTTTTTTTCATCTGTTTCCTTAAATCTAATGCAAGTCTTTGTGTGTTGATAGAAAAACTTTAAATATTCTGTATCATTAATAAAATTCTCCATCCATGTTGTTCCACTTATTCTGTTATGCCGGTCAATCTAGAGCTGAGAGGCAGGGTACAACAGTCTGTTGCAGGGCAACACGAGACATACAAAGAAGTACAACCTGCACACACACACACCTAAGGACAATTTTAGAGAAGCCAATTAACCAATTTATGGACTGTGGGAGGAAGCCAGACTACCCAGAAAGAACCCACACATGCACAGGGAGAAAATGTAAACGCCATGCAGAAAGAGCCCAGGCAGGCAATCTTACTGCGAGGCAACATTGCTACAAACTGTGCCATCATGTGTTTTGTCAGTGAAGTAAAATTATAAACATCCTCTATAGGCTGGATGAGAAAAGTCTCCTCTAACATCCAAATACTTTCTATTCTTAGCATCTGTGCTCCTAATGGTGCACACTCCTGTTGGCACCATTCAGAGAAGAGACTCTCTGCCAAGACATCAATCACCTGCTCTTTTCCTCCTTATTTGTTCTTTTCTCTTTTTTGTTATGAGCTGATTGATGGGGTTATATTTTCCTTTAATGTTGGTTAGACATGTCACACATTAACACAAAGATCATTTGAAGAATGCCAAAAGGTGAAAAGTAAGCATTTACCTTCTATTATTATTGTGCAAATATCTGTACAAACATACAAGATTTATTATCCGTGCAGTGACTCAGTACACTTAGCAGAATTAATTCTTTCTAACGTCGAAGGGCTCATAAGCTTAGTGGTGTGTGGGTATCTATTATATGCTAAATATATATGATGTTATAGAGCTATTATTATGAGGAACATTACCTACAGTTAGTGGCCATTTTTTTAAATGTTCCTGGTTGGACCTCTTTTTACCCTTTAGAGAGACTTTATATTGTTTTTTTCAAAACAAGGTATTGTAAGCTGTTCTTAAATAGTCTAGTCTATGTTGTAATAATAGCATCATATGGAAGCATGATGCTATCATAGATTCAAATCCACTGATCACGGATTCCAGATCTTTAAAAATCCTGACATGCTAATTCTGATTTTTGACTAATTTATCAATTTTCTAAAATTAGACACTGACAGTTGTTATAAGATCAAAAGAAACCTTCATTAATTCAATCTGCTCTTAATGAAAGGCATTAATTAGTATGTATGAAATGATAAAAACTTTTGAAATAACTGCTTTCAAATATAAACCAAAGTTTAAATAATTTATTTTTTCAAACCTTTGCAGATCAAGATAAGATCTGTGGAAAAGATTGGTTTCTAATCTAAGTATCGGCCAATCACCAAAATCCAAAAATGAAGGAAATTGAGGCCAATAAATCAGCTGGCCGATCAACCAGTGCACCTCTAGCGATGTGGACAAAAAATAAAATTATGGCAATCATTTTTTCTTTTTCAAATAGTCTTATAATCTTGTTAAATGTAATAAAAATCCCTCTGTGGGGCAGAACATTTGGAACAAACTTTTAAAGCTTCATTTAAGTTAGATGCTATTTATGTCTAACATTGGCAATAACTAGTTCTCTTGGTTATTTATTATTGAAATCTCTGAACTTGTGCATATCTTATCTGGAATGCTGTGTGTCTCCTCGTTAAGTACAACTAATCGTGGAGTGCTGCTGAACTTCTGTGCAAGTCACAGATTTTGAATGAACACCGTGTTCAAGCATAATTACACCCTAGGTCAGAGGTCGATTATCAAGTTTTCAGTCTGACTTTCAGCTGCATATCTTGGACACATTCGGGTGAAGAGAGGAAAGGAGCTGTCCACCGATCACCACCTGGTAGTGAGCTGGATATGCTGGAAGAGGAGGAGGGTGGACAAACTTGGCAGGCCCAAGAAAGTATTTAGGGTCTGCTAAGAATTTCTGATTGAGTCCTCAGTCAGGAACGTGTTCAGCTCCCACTTCTGGGAGATCTTTTGCCAGATCCCATTGGAGGCTGGAGACATGGAATTTGAGTGAACCATGTTCTCCACCTCCATTTTTGATGCAGCTGCCCATGCGTCCATATGGTCTGTGGTGCCTGTCGTTGCAGCAACCCCTGAATCCAGTGGTGGACAGGGGTAGTGAGGGATGCTATTAAGCTGAAGCAGTCTTATCAATATGGTTGGCTTTTTGGAACTCATGAAGCAGTAAGCAGGTACAGTATCGGCTGGCCTCAGTGTTTCTGGGCAACCTTCTGCCATCTCTAGAGGGGGAAGCAGTGCTTTGCCAATAATAGTTTTAGTAGAAGTGGGGAGCTGCTGAGCTTAAAAGAGGGCATCGTTAGACGGTGGAAAGGGTACTCAGAGGATCTCCTCAATCCGGTTTACAGGCCTTCCGTGGTGGAAGAAGAGATGGGTTGATCAGGGCTGGATTCACTCATCACCCAGGCTGAAGTCATCAAGGTGGTCAAAAAAACTCCAAAGCGTCAAGGCTCTGGGAGTGAGTGAGATCTGCCCTGAGTACTTTAGAGTTCTGGATGCCATTGCACTATCATGGCTCAATCACCTTCAACATCACATGGAGGTCGGGGACAGTACCCCTGGAGTTGAAGACCAGGGTGGTGGTTC